AAGTGAAAAGCAGAGATACACCAGGGATATGCATTCGTTGAAAAAACTGTCATGGTTGCATAAAGAAATGAAATTCCAACTGCAGGATACCCTATAGAAAATTCTCTTCATGACAAGTGAAAAGAGTTCCATGGCTTTCAGATCTCTTGTAGTTTATGAAAATATATTTTTGTTTAATTCTTGCTAATCTATATAGCACTAGAATTTCTTGTATACAACTCCTAGCAATAATACAACTATACTTTGAAACATAGTAAGAGTATACTTTCCTTCTGCTTTACATAAAAGTTAAAATCATCTACAGTTTTTAAACTATTTTTCTTTAAAGAAAAAAATCCACTTTAAATCTGGATTCAGGGGTAGGGGGTGGATATCAACCTTCTTGCAGATTAGGCTGAGGAACTATATTGCAATTATTTTGATCAAACCCACTCATAACAAAACTGCTTACACTTAGAATACAGGAATTTGTGGAGATCTCATCACTACATAACTTAACTTGTAGAATGATACAAGAACCTACACATCTGAAACAACTGTTTTAAGCCACAAGAAAAAAAATACCTGCAAATTTTTAGAGTATAGGCTGCAAAAATAAAAGCTGCTCTTCTTGCTACACACCCCACTATCATCTCTATATGGTATTTGTAAGTAAACCATAGTAGCAGAAATTTAGGTTGGAGATTAGGAGAAACTTTCTAACTACAAGTACTGGAACAGGCTATGGGATTTCCATCCCTAGAAATTTTCAAGAGTGGGTTATACAGAAATTTGGCTGGGATGCTTTATTCAGGGATAATCCTACCTTGAGTATGGTGCTGAATTAGATGATCTTGTGAGATCCCTTCCAGGCCTACGTTCCTATGATCCTAAATAATTGTACAGTCTTTTTAATAGGACACTTGTGCAGATTATAATTTTGAGCAGGATCTAAAAAGTTGTGTACCTAAATACTTCTAGATAAATACAGTTTGAAAAGTTAAGGACTAATTGTGAAAGTTAAGGACTAGTTAAGGTTTATATTTTCAAAGTTACTGGTATACTTTTCTCAAACCTTTGGAAACAAAATTATTCTACTTGAAAATAGATAGTCATCTCTTGACTACAGTGAAGTGATTCATTTTCCCCTCCACCTTTTTAAGTACAGGACAACTCAGAGATTTAAATATTTACTTGCCTCACCAAACAGTAGTCATTCAACCGTTCTGGAAAATCTGGCTACATGCTTCAACTGCCTATTTACTAAGCCTGTGCGACGTGGCAAGTATCTGCTTCGGATCTGGATGATTTGGAGGATGGTGATTCAACTCAGATTCAAATCACTGTCCCAATTCAATTCGGTTGAGTCAGCTCCAAAAGATTTTGTGCCGCTTCGGAGATTCGGCCGTAGACTAAAAACAGGCAGTTGAGACAGCTGCCTCCAGCTGGTAAGTCTGTTGGGGTTGGGTGACGGGGGAAAGATTGGGGCTGTGGCTGGGACAAGCTGCCCAGCCAGGGCCGGGGGGACACGTTACTCAGGGAGGAGGGCAGGAGAGTGCAGAATGCGCAGTAGGGTTGGGATGGGGGGTGGGCACGATGCAGGCACAGCTCACTCTGGGCAGAATGGGGCAAGTGGCAGCAGGGCATAGGCCCTGCTCTCAGCACTCCCATGTCAGCTGGAAAGCGGCAGCAAGGCAAAAGTCCTCACTCTCAGCGTTGCAGGGACGGCAGCACTGTTAGCAAGGGTTATGCCCTGCTGCTGCTTGCCCCCTTCTGCCTAGAGTGAGCTGCACCTGCATCACTCCCCCTTCCCTTCCCCCCACCCCACCAACCCCGTGCCGGGTAGGGAAGCAGTAACAGGGCAGAGCCCCACTCCTAGCACTGCTGCGCCCACATCAGTGCTGGGAGCGAGGACTCTTCGCTACCACAGCTAGACAGCCAGTGCGGGGGGCAGGGGGTCCCCCACCAGGGGGGGACACTGCTGCTGGTTGCCAGCTGGTGCAGGTACAGGATGCGGGCATGGCAGCGCTGGGAGCAAGGGCTATGCCCTACTGCTGCTTGCCACCTCCTGCCTGGAGCAAGCCATGCCCACATCCTGCCCCGTCCCCAAGCAAGCAGCAGTAGGGCAGAGCCCCCACTCCAAGCACTGCCACACCCGCATCCCGTGCCCCCATTCCCAAGTCTTGTGCCCCCTGGCCCAGCTAGGTAGCTTGTCCCAGCCCCCATCCCCCCCTCCCCC